GGGGGGGGGGGGGGGGGGTCTGCGTACACATGTCACATGACCAGGTCCGGCTCCTCTGTCAAGGACCACGGTCTCCTGAAGCATGAACCTGTTCTTCACTGCGTTACTAGGTTGGGTTCTCGTCAAGTCTTTAGTTGTTTTTGCTCTTAGACAACAGCTGGGGTTCAGACCCCGTCCCAGGGTCACCGGGTCCCAGGGTCACCGGGTCACCGTCACCATGTCCCAGGGTCACCGCCGAACATCGACGTTCCCCCAACGTACCAAAGTTCCACCCGTTCCATCCTGGTCCTCCACCTTTTTTATTCCCGTTCTCCTCGTGGTTCCGGGGCCTTTAGCACTTGTTAAAACCACCGTAGCATCTCCATCTCTGAGGGGGCGACGAGGGACCGCAGCCTGGGGTCCAGTCCAGTCCAGTCCATGGTCTTGTGCTGTACCAGGATCTGGATTCCAGGTTCTCCCAGCACTTCCAGAACCATTTGTGCCCCGAAGGCGTTCCGCTCTTGACACATTCCAGTAGACGGACGGGCAGCGACCAGAGTGGACCGCTCTGCTAAACCAATCAAAAGCGTTCCCCTGCGGTCCAGCCTGGTTACGTTTCAAAAACGTTCCAGAAAGTTCTTTGACTGGGACCAGGAAAGACGCTGGTCCAACGAAACATTCTCATCTGTTCATCCCACCGCCGCGGTGTACCGCGTAGGCTAGGTACCGCGTAGGCTAGGTACGGTTTGTGTAGCACGTTGATCGATGGTGTGTCCCACACTGGACAGTCCAACCCTGCTCAGTGTGGGGCGCAGCCCGGGTAGTAACAGGGTCCAACTGGGTCAACAAACTTCAGCTGTAGAGAAACCCCCCCCCCCCCTTGTGTCGCCAATTAGCCGTTAGCAGTTAGCCCGCCGGTCGACCTCGGCGTCACCGGAGGTCTGTGTAAATTTGATCACTGTGAAAGTGGAACACGTGACATGGCCGTCGTCTGGTCAGTGACCCACTCCCGTCTTCACCTCACCCCCCGCCCCCCCTCACCCCCACCCCTGTCCTCACCTGTTCTCCAGCAGTAAAGCATGTTAGAGCAATATTCACAGACGGGTCAGAACCCTAGAACCGTAGCCTCGGTCCTTCCCACCTCTGTCTTCTGCCTCCGTGTCTGTGACCCCAGCCCAGTGGGGGGCAGCAGCTGCAGGGTGTCCACGGTGAAGGTCCAGGGTGGTTCTCAGAGCCGGGTCACAGGACAGAGGCTGTGACGGGTTCTGGTGGGTTCCCTCTGAGCAGCTGTTGTCAAGACAAAATGCTATGCTACAAACATGCTAATGTACTCAATAACTGTGCGTGTATGTTCCTGAATAAATTGGACAAACATCTAACTTCACCGGGTTGTGTCGGTTCTTGGTTTTTTCCGGTGTCCATCAGAGGGCGCCATTGGCTCGCATGTCCTCCAGTTCTTCAACCTCAGACATTAATCATTCTGGTCCTGAGGGAGAGAAGAGTGAACTTTAAAGTGTTTTATTTATAGTTAAAGTTTCTTTAACGGAGCTCATCAAAAAGTTTTAATATTTATGTCTTGAATTCGATGCTGAAAATGAAAAAACAGTTTAAAAAATACATTTAAACAAATCTTAGAAGAATTGACGTATTTCCTGCTCGTGTTCGTGGCTGTATTTTAGATCGTTTATTTGATAGCGCTAACTTAGTTAGCATCGTAATAAATGACCGGAAATAGTAATGAGGCATCGTAATAAATGACCGGAAATAGTACCTCATAATGAGATACTTTGTGTTTATTATCAGATACTGTCACGAGTGGATTTGTCATAAGATACTACGTCATAAACGATCTCAGTGTTAAGTCATATAATCCGATACTTTGTCGTTATGGTGAGGTAGTTTTTCATAAACACCAACAAAGTATCTCAGTTTCCGGTCGTGCTGTTGAACCGCCGTGTTAAATACTGTGTTTGAGGAAATGTTTGGTTTTGTTTTTTCGGACGAAAAAAATATTTTTTATTTCTTTAAATGATGTGATTTTTAACCAGTGAAATCAATAACTTGTTCCAGATGAAGAGGTTGTCAACACCGACCAGTGGCTGTGGTTGTCAGTGGTGTCGTCATGTGGGGGCTGGTGCCCCTTAGAGGGGGCGGTGCGTCACTGCAGACCCCTCCTCCGTGCAGCCCTCACACACACACACAGACCGACAGACAGACTCACAGCCCACTCACTCCTGCAGCAGCAGCAGCAGTACCAGTACCACCAGCACCGGTACCAGCAGTACCAGTACCAGTGCTCCTCCTATCGGATGCCTCGGTCAGTGCAGTGAAGCAGGTGAAAATGCTGGAGAACGGACGGAAGGTGATGAAGGAGGGTCTGCTGGAGAAGCGCAGCGACGGTCTGCTGCAGCTGTGGAAGAAGAAACACTGCGTCCTGACGGAGGACGCCGTGCTGCTGCTGCCGCCCAAACAGCACGACCACCAGCAGCTGCAGCTGCAGCAGCAACAGCAGCAGCAGCAGCAGCAGCAGCACGGCGGCGGCGGCGGCGGGGACACGGGCAGAGTCAAGGAGCTGCACTTCGCCAACATGAAGACGGTGGACTGCGTGGAGAGGAAAGGCAAGTACGTCTACTTCACGGTCGTCACCATGGAGGGCAAGGAGATCGACTTCAGGTGTCCGCAGGACGAGGGCTGGAACGCGGAGATCACCCTGCAGATGGTCCAGTACAAGAACCGCCAGGCCATCCTGGCCGTCAAGTCCACCCGCCAGAAGCAGCAGCTGCTGGTCGTCCAGATGCCCGGCCAGAAGTCGGTCCGCAGCACCGCGAACGTGGCGTGACCGGCGGCGCGTCAATAGCGGTAAGAGGGTTGAGAGGAAGAGGGGGCTCCCCCCCCCGACCCCCCCTCACCCCCCGTCATGACCACCCGGGCTTCCCTTGTTCGTAGGAGGCTTTTTTGTTTTTTCTTTCGGATTATCATGATACCAA